TTGATTAGCATTCACAAAGCCTATAAACTAAAGGAGAATGATTAAGGTTTCAAAAAAAAAAAAATTAAAGTCGACACTGAAGATTTGCGAAATATGACAAAGTAAATGTTTTGACACTTTTGATTTTATGTCTTTCCACAAAAATAACAATAAAAAACACTGCGTTTGGTGCCGTTTGTGAGCTGTTATTATTAATAATACAATTATTATTATTATTACACCGTATTGTGACACTTCTAATCAGTCAGTCTACAATGAACCAGAATTACTTTAGTTCCCCAACATCAATTTGTTATTCACTCGGTCACTTCTCTTTCCTCCTTTGGCCAAATGTCTCTTAGATGTATTGTGCTCCGTGTCGGTCAATGAACTCTCTGAGCCTGCAATAAGCAGCCCCGGCAGAACTCTTAAGCCCTCCTCGATCGCTCACTCAATGAAACATTAGACGCTGCAGCAAAATTAATGCGGCTGAAATTAAATGAGAACACTGAAAAGGCTTCCCTATAGGAGAAAAAGAGGAGAGTTTCTTAAGCCGAACATCGATCTGTGCAGGAGCTGGGCAGGGTGCTGTATTAACTTTGCAGAGGACCTTCCCCGAAGACCAAACTGTGGCCAACACAACTGAGGTGTCAGCAGGTATAAAATGTGCTTAGATGAACTTTTGAGCTTTGTTAATATGTCACCTTTGAAAGTAAATAGCTAAAATCCCCTCCTCCAGGCTGACAGGATAACTTTAATTATGCTGTATGGAGAATGGTTTACAAAACACTCAAAAGTAAACTTTAGGGTTTTTTTTTTTTTGTTTGTTTTTTATCAATACAATAAATAGCGAGAGTCTCACATATTTTCTTTTTTTTGTGCAAATAAACATCTCAAAAAGTGGTGTGCATTTGTTTTTCGCATAACTCTAAACACAAAATCCCCGCTATAAGGCCTGAAAGTTGCAGCATCGATGTATGTGAATGTTTTTCCTTCAGCTGGCGAGAGTTAATGGCGGCTGGATGGAACAAAACACAGAGTAAAACTAGAAGAATATCTGTTGGACGTTCCAAAGGACTTGAAGCTAAAGAAAAAGGTTCAACTTTCATTAGGACAATGGCGCCACAAGCAGAACCAGAGCTACAATAGAATAGCTTACATCAAAGTACAATGGCAAGTTTGAAAAGCCCAGTCAAAGCCAAGACGGCAATCAGATTGAAAATATGTCACATGGCTTAAACGTTAATGGTTACCATGAATATACATTCAATCTTGAAAAGAGAAATGAGTCCATTCTCCTGTATGAATGTGCAAAGCTGGTAGAGAAAAACCCCAGGAGACATAGAGGGGTAATTTCAGCAGAAGGTGGGTCTACAAATAATTGACTTAAGGAGGCTGATTATACTATGACTTTAGAGCTATGCCCTATTTTATGTTGGCCTTTCATATAAAAACCCCATACATTTTGGAGTTTGTGATTGCAATGTGACAAAATGCAAACAATAGTTCAAAGGATATGAATACTTTTACAAGGCAAGGAATATTTAACATAAAACCACTATATGTGCAATGGCTGGTTTTATGAAACAGGAAAGAGGTTGAAAACGTGTATTTAATCTTATAAAAGCTAAAAGAAAGAAGAAAAAAAATGATAATTTCAATTCCAGAAAAGAAGAGCAAACAATTCTCTGGAAACAGTAAAATGAAACTAAGAGCAGAATCCTCTCAGTTTTAAGCTACTTAAAGTAAAATACAGTGGCGCTTGCATATGCAAAGGATCCCTCCTCTACAGAGAAAAGTGAACAGTCTGTCCTGCCACTTGGTATTATTTTGAAAAATAAACAAAAGTGCACAAACGGCACAGCTGAAGAAAAAAAAAGCAGAAAACATAATGACAGGTATTGTTGATAAGAGATGCAGCACCAGAATGCCAGTTTTTGAGCTAATTAAAATTTGGAGTTGCAACCCACTAAAAATAGCATGTGCTGCAGAGGTCCATCAATTTAATCCCCCCCTCAGGGGACAGCTGGAATGCCGAATAATGTTCTTCTGCTGGATGGGCAACATAACACAATTCAAGTGGAGCACACGTGCAAGTGCAAGGATTTTATATGAAAAGAAAAAAAAGTTGGCAAAAGAAGCAATATTCTTCTTTTTCAGACACAAACAGAAAACAGAACAAGTGTCATTGATCTTTCTACATAAGAATGCAATAATGTATCTGCTTATAGAGACAAACTCCACTAGTACTGTTCAATATATACTTATAATTCTCTTTCATTCCTCCAATGTTTATGTACATGTTAAATATGCAAAACATTACAGAAAACAAATATATAGAGACAATAGAGACCTATAACACAATGGAGCTTTGGCATCCAGCTAACAAACATAATGAGTTTGTCAATTACAGCACAAAAACTACAAATGTGGGATGATGAGGCTCCCTCAGAAACCATTGTTTCTGTCCCACAGATGGTCTATTATGAGGGATGGCTTCATTTCCCCATTTGTTCTTCGTGTGGGCTCCTTAGTACGACCAAGGTGAAACGGTGCAGAGAAAAGACGGGGCACCGACTGTCAGCTGCTGAGATGCATTTAGCCCCAATCTCGTAGACCACCAGGGCCATCCACAAGCTTTTCTAAACAAGGTTCAATTCCACAACCTCTGTCCAGGTGTCAGTCCAAATAAACAGGTGCAGAAAAGTGACTTGTACAGAGGAGTGGGGGTGGGGGCATACAGCAGGGGACACGGATAAGAAGAGCCAGGAGAGTGGGGGACAAGACCGGTGAAAACAGTATAGTGTTTTCATAAAGAAGAAAATTCAGGAAAAGTGAGCCTGAGGGCAAAATGATGGTGCTGCATCATTTACCAAACAGAATTCGATTTTGCCTCATTTCCATTGAACTGTACAACTTGAGTCAGAGCGGTTCGGCAAACTGTTTTGTCTGTTTTCATTGTATAAGAGGTTCACTCAATCAGCCTGTACCACACGGTACGGTTAGGGCGGAGCTACTGGCATGCGTTACGTTTCTGGTCACACCGTTGTGGGCTCTTAACAGCAGGAGCAGGGATTGTTTCTTGTGGACAAAACTGCAGCGACAGAGGTTAGAAAATTCCCAAGACCTACAAAAACAAATACAAGCAGGAACCGACAAAGATATGCCGAGGTGTAATAAGTTACACTATACATTAAAAGTCCTTTTAAGGAGTGAGAAGTGCTGACCTGGAGTTTCCTCCAGCTTTACAAAACACAGACTAACACAGTGCTCTGCCTTCCCTACCTGTTGCTGCACATTGCTGTATGGATGGTGCAAAAAAGGCTATTCTCTTACAAGAAAGAAATATTGGAATGTTTTTAAATATTTCTGGTTGTAAGGAAACTCACAAAGGCTTATCGGTTAACCAGGTTCTACTCAAACACAAAGCCTGACTAATTAACCTGGTAATAACAGCGTTTTATCCTGGAGTTACTATAATGAGAACACATCCTGCTTGTAGATTTGTGACATAAGGTCACAGCAAAACAATCAACTGCCAAAAAAAAGCAATGAGGTTAAAATACGTTTCATCGTCATTTATCCTTATTTTAACAAATTTTACACAATGTTATGATAAAACATCAAGTTCAGATTGCTCACCCCTATATTGCGCAGTAAGCAACAGCTACCAATACGTTAGTTTGTTATTTTAGTGTTGTTGATTCAATATTGTGACTGTAATATATGAACAGAATTATTGCTTCTCCGTCTCAAATAAAAGCAGCTTGATACTTTTTCTTCTACATTTTACGTAGATGAAAGGTCTGTTTACTCAAGGTTATCATACTGTTAGAATCTCAGAGAGGCAAAAATCCTGTTTGAACTAAAATGTTACTTTTTAAGCTAAACCGTAGCATCATATGTTTGCAAGCACTTGCACATTACACTTTACCACTTTACCGGTGTTGGACCACGCAGACTTTCAAATGAATACAAGTTTAAATGGAAACAACATTATAAGTGAAAAACCTTAGCTCCACTGCCTCTTCCTCTCCTCGATCGCTAGCATATTTGGCAACAAATGAAGCACTGAGAGTGCATCAAAGATGTATGATTATTTTCCAAGTCGTTTGGTATGAAAAAGAAAACAAGAACCTCTGCAGAGGAAGAGAAGCAGCAACGAAAGATTAAGGAGGAAGCGCCGAGATGTTTCGAAAGCGAAGCATGCGATTTTAAAAGGATCTCAGCAAAATTTCTTGAAGCGGAGATGGTTAAGACCCAGGGTCTTCCTTTTTATTGCAGATAATTATAGTTCACCTACATATTTCTTGTCGTGTATAAACTCCCGGCTTTGTCTTTGTCTTATCTTTATAAGCCAAAGCCAAAACCAAAGTAAAACCTATATTTTACGGCTGCACTAACAGCCGTAAAATATAGGTTAGTGCGAGACGAGGCAACCATTCTCGTGTCTCTGCTGTTGCGGTGAACGGATGCCAGATCAATAAAGCAATATGTATAAATCACTGTTTTGTTTGTCAAATGCTGATGGGTTCTGGCTTTCCATACAGATGTAAACTAGAGAGGTCGAATTTACTGTCTGTGTTTTAATCAACAATCTACTTTTCACTGAACCACACCACCAAGCAGCCACAATATAAAAGTCTTAATGGGCAAATATGTTGTCAATTTGTATGTGTATGTACTGCTAAAAGGCTCAGTTTGTTGTGTGTAACATTCTTTAAGAAACATGGATTTAGGCAAGAGGCAAATGTCTCAGTAACTTGATGTGAATACTAGTTAATCCGTCTCATCTCAGCATCTTTGTAATCCTCGACAAATAGCAATAAATAAATAAATAAATAAATAAATAAATAAATAAATAAATAAGACAATAATAACCCACAAGAAACAAGCAGATATGATAAAATAATCTTGCAAATGCCTGTTCATATTTTTGAAGTAATATGATGACAATGCAATTTAAGACATTAAATAAAAACAAAAATATACAAGTGGCCATGGAAAATGTCAGAACTTACAATAGACGTCCACTCGGATGGATTTAATAGCTGGGGAACCGAGGCCGTTCTCAGCCTTGCAGTAGTAGCGACCCCCCTGTGTCCTCTGGATCTTCGCAATGTGCAAAGTGTCATTGAACACACTGGAGTCCTGGAAGCGATCTGACACGCTGCCAGCTGTCTTTGTCCATCGGATCTGAGACGGAAAAGAAGCAAACACCAATCATTTCCAGAACCCATTTCAAGAGCTAATCCTCTGTTAAAGAGGGTAAGTAGTGCACCAAGTACACAAACACTGTTTAATGTCTAGCAAAAGACTTTCTGGAGGTGTGTTGTGATGCACTTTGCCAACAATGTGCATTTCACCACAACAAGACATCTGAATAGTGTGGGAGCACTTATAAAGATGTCAGATTTTTGTGAGGTGAAAAAATTAAACCTTGAAAAACAATGAAAAACATTCCCCAGTTTTGGTTGTAATGTGTTGTATGTATTATTTTCAATCGTTACTTACTAAAGATGCAACTCAGCACAAAAACACGAAGGAGGAATTTCATGAAGCGTGACAAACTGATTGCTAGTGAAAATCATAGATGTAAATGAATAACGTGCAGAGCCCGGTCAGAGAGTTGGGGGTATTGTTGCCTGACAGCAAAAAGCTCTTGGATCTTTCTGCATGTTCTCTCGGTACATGCACCTGTTCTCCCTGGGTACTCTGGCTTCCTCCCACAATCCAGAAACATAACAGTTACGGTAATTGGTCTCTCTAAAATTGCCCACAGGTATGCATGCATGTGTGTGTTTATGTTTCCCTGTGAAAGGCTGGCAACCTGTCCAGATTGTACCCAGACTTTTGCTCAATTAACACTGCAGACAGGCGCCCTTCCCCGCAGCATGGACGTTGATTCGATGAAAGTGCATCGAATAAATAAAAAATAATGTTTTAAGTCATGCAGATGAAAACAACTGAGTAAATTGTAAAAACTGGCCATGCAAAGGCAGGGTTGCTAAGACTATGCTGTCCAACACTGGCTCATAATAGGCATACGCAAACAATGCCTTGATCTGGGGTTCTTTTCGGTGTTTATAAGCTATTTTGCTCTGAATGAATAAACTGAATCCACCCAGCTCTGTTACAACTAATGAACTGCTGTCTAGAGGTATTCAAGCTTCTTTTCTGTCATTCAACATGACAGAAAAAGTTCTCCATTCTATCAAAGATAGAAAGTGGTTTTCTTAAACTGTTTCAACACAAAACTGTCTGATATGGATCCTCTTCTAATATTTCTCCGCCGTCTTTTGCTTCACACCAGATCTACATCGCCATGGTCTTCTCAACATGAGTACCTTTCACTAACTGATGGGACCCAGTTAGCCCATGGCATTGAGGTGTAATGAAAGGTGAAATAGTGTTACTCTCCAACATGAGGTTGTAATTGACTCTCAATCATCTCCTTCTCCTGTCCTCATTAAAGCTTACAGCATGAGCAGGTACTGTGACAACTCTGGCCTGGGGGCCAACACAGCGAGAACCACCGAGCACAGAGCTCTGCTTGATCCCTCGCTCTAAGTAAGGCACAGATGGACTGGCTTTGCCTGCAGAGCCTCACATTTCTCTGTCTAGGCAGGCGAAGCTCTGAATTAGAATCCAATGTCTCCACACTGTATGGTGATAGCATCATCTTGGATGCTGATAACATCCAGAGACAGCATCAGATGGAACAGGAGTATCATGGCATGCAGGGACAGGGATTGGGTCCTATCAGAGAGAATGCTGGTGGGTTGTACTGACTGGGGGTTGGAGGGTGACGGGGTGGAGGTAACCATGGCAGCTCCGTTGTCAGGTTATGACGGTTTTAGCTTTGCTTATTTTCCCATCAGATAGGAGAGAAAGATGAAAGGGTGAGTGGCCAAAAATCCTGATGGAGGATGATGAGCAGAAGAAGGCACTCGCATTTGTTTCATCACAGAAGTTTCAGATTCTCTGACTTGCCTAAAGTGTCTTTGCTTGGAGCAGCTGAAATAAATTGTGTGTATTCGACGGCTGGTTTTGTCTTAGTGTTTCTTTTCATGAAACTCTCTCACTGAAAGAAATGATTAAGCTGTTCTGTCTGGACATTTTATGAAGTGTCCCCATGGACTTAAAAAAATCAATCAGGCATAACATTATGACCACTGACAGGCGAAGTGAGTCACACTGACCATCTCCAAAATAGTGGTATTGGTTAACATGAGGTCAAAGAAAGAAACAGTGATGAACATACAACAGGGTCATAGGTCACTGATCAGATGATGAGCAAAATCTGTCCCACACACAAAAAAAAATTTACCTACATTATTTATGCTGATTTAGGGATTTAAGAAGAGATGTTGCACTACAGTTTGTTGCTTATGGAGCTGCATTGCCTTCGACCAATGAGGTTGCCAGTACCAGTCATAATGTTATGCCTGATCTGTATACCGTACACACACACTGCCAAATGAGACACTAATAGACAGTGCTTCTTGGAAAAGCCCAAACTCAGCACCTGATCAAAGCTGAAACACCACTGATGGAGAATTTGCGGCCTTATTAAAGCAGCTAGGGACATCATGAGTTCAACAGAACAAGCACTAAACCTAAATAAGTTACAAGCATAAATTAGGTGCGGGGTGGAAGGGGGGGGGAGGTTTGAAATTATGTGTCACTCTTCCAGAGTGCGCCGGATTCCCTCGCGCAAACACAAAGCTTTCTTTTTTTGTGTCGATCTCAGCAAAATTCAGTATTCTCTAAGCTTATAGCCTCAGCCTTTTCTTTGCCTTTTGTGCAAAGAGCTTTGAGTTTTAGGAAAACGCTGTATCAATAAGTGCATTGTTAGAGTGACGTTAAGAAGCGCGTATTCAAACGAGGCTTTATATTCTCAGAAAAGAGGGCGCGTCGCCGTTTGTTTGTTCACGGGGACAGTAGACCACATTATCGGAAGAGCTCTCAGCTCTTCCTCCACCCCGAGGCTATTTTCATGCCTTCGCTCCTCTGACGTTTTACATCTAAGCACCTCAGCCCACAGGGGGAGTCTTGAAGTGTGCCTGGTGAGAACAGTTTGACCCTCTCCAGTCTCCTTAGTGCAATGCAAATACTCTTGATCGGGGAAGTGCTAGCAGATTTGAGCATTATGATAATTGCTGCTCCTGACACTAAAAGCCTCGCTACATTTATTTTTCTTTTTGGCTTTTTCTGCTGCTCAGCTCATATTATGTGCCTGCAATTACATTCTTATGAATAAGTGAAACTGCCAATGGTGCGCCACCCTGAAACTGCTCTCTTTTAGAAAAGTGGAGACTCCTCCTGCATATTACAACTTGAAAATTCAAAAAAATGAAATAAAATAGTGTGGCTTATTATTTGTGATGGGGAAAAAATATATATATTTGGATGGCATATTTTTTAAAAAAAAAACACAAAAACATGACACATATTAAGGCACAAAACCAAAAGTGCAAATCCCTATTAAACGAGACACCCAAACTGATGGATCAACATTTGCTCACATGGAAGGAAGAGACTTGCCTAACTCTGTACCCAACTGAAAATCCCAGCAGTGTTTGAGACCACACATGCTGGGATGCCGCGGCAAGCGCTAATTAAAATGCGCCCAGTATCTGTTGTTATGCGGGGATCATATGCTGGAGCACGCGTTCTCGGTGAAGCTCCCGTAACGCCTGCTGTGACGTTTCCCTCTCTCCAACTACGGACCGACTTCTAATTGCTTGCCATCTTTTTTTTTCTTTTATGCGCCATTGGTGGTCTGTGCCTTCTCGGTGGTGCAGACAAGTGTGGCTGAGCATGACAATCAAGTGATCAAAAGAACCAACAAGAGGTTCAGATTCTGAACTGCGAGCACATTTTCTCTCCAGGTCTATTTCAGGAAAGCTGTCCCCTCCCTCACACTCACAACAATGGGATAATCAAATCAAACAAGGTAAATGGTCGACACTTTGACGGCAAACCGAGAACCAAAAAGGAAACTGGATATTGAAATAAAAGCCATAACACTTTCTTTAAGTTACTACAGTGTCTATAGTAATCAAGGAGAAAGCACAATCTGCTGGACGCACCAGCACTGTGGGTAAATGTTATGTGGAGCTCCAAAATAAAGCACATACCCCAATTGGTGGGTATTAGGCCAAATGTCACGGGGCCTGAGGTCAGCTTATTTGTACTTGCTGACCCGTGGAGGTTTGAGTTGAATCTGGTGGGCGAATAATTGAAACAAAGAAATAAAAAAATAAAAAAGGGAGAGTGTTTGCAATGTGGTGTTGGAGCCTGGTACTCAAACAAAGTAGTGTGGACATAATGGACGCTGGCCAAGGCAGAGGAGACAGGGGCAGATGGCTTTATCATCAGGGACTCTTTGATGTCTGTTCATAGCATCAAAGACAATGAATAAATCTGGAGAAGAATGACCATGAAAGCATGAAACGATAAAGCTGTCCACATTTGGTTTTCTAATGCGGAGTCACAGAAGGTGAAATAGTAATGCAGAAAATGTCTCGGTCAGTGGATTAGTCTTGTTCTTCTTATTATTATTTCATTTTGCATCTGCCAGTAGGAGGTTTGTATTTTAGCTTTGGTTACATCTGTCTTCTGGGCCTTGAGGCTTTTCATATCGTAAACTTACATTTTTCACAACATCATCTTCCTCTGGATTCTTTCAAAAATCTTGGTTTCTCAACTGACACTCAATTTTTTGTTTACCCCATAAGTTTAGTTAGTTATTGCTTTTGACTGTGTTTCTGCTGAACTCATCCATTCACCCACCAACCCCTCACGTGTCGCCCCATTGCGTTTCAACCTGTCATTTCAAAGGCAAGGCGGAAGTGATGCCATGCGGAAACAAAACTTCCTAACTATTAAACATGTTAGCATATGCAACTTCATTACCAGATAAACCAGCTAGCCACACTTTATTCAAACGAGGGAACATTGTACGGCAAAAGAAAATGGCTAACTTAAGCTAGCACCTAGTCTAGGCTTAATTTAGCTAATAATTAAATACCCACATGGAGGCACTTATTGAGCATTAAAATTTTATTCCCAGAAACTCAGTTGATCCTTATGACAAAACATATAAGTAACATAAGATTGTGACATCAGATAAAAGTGATTTAACCATTAATGACGCAACAACCAACTGTTTTTTATACGCTATTCTTTTCCAGAACACTTTGACTTTGCACAAGACTTCATTAGAAGCTTAACATGTTATTCAGAGATATAATGGAATTTGAAATAGCACAAAATATCATTAATTTACTCATGTTAAGACTCTCAGCAGACGAGGAACAGTGAGCATGCAGGTCTAATCTGTCCTGTTTTTACAGATGCCATGTTAACAATTTTGTACTCATGTGAGTCTGGAAGGTTTTATCGACTTTGTTGCTAAGATTTGCTAAAAATTTTTCTTTGAAATTCTTGGCAATTTGCCTATTCACTTTGAAAATGCTGTCAGGCAATTTTCATTGCATAACTTTAGGTTTTATGATTTGTGAAAGGCAGATTCAGTCTATAACTCATTTTTATTTTACTTTCCTGTAAATTGGTTACATTTTTAAGCCGTTGCTAAGACAAAAAATAAAAAAATAAAAAAATGAAACGAAACAGAAAAGATAAAAAGCAGACATTTTCAAATCACTGTAAAGAAGTCAGGCACTACATTTTGACTGGTTTAGATTTAAATCAACATTCAGACCAGGGATGTAAGTTCATATGATTTGCAAGGAGCTGACATATCTGGAACACACCCAGTGAGAGGTTTTATTGTCATTTTGTGTGACTAACATTACACAACCCCGTGGCGTCTGAGCTGACCTCTGCGTCTCGGTTTATTGCATCACCGGTACTACGGCTATCAAGGCTAAATGACTAATTCGACCAATTTTATGGAGAGACGCACCGTCTTCAATGCAAGCCTGTGAGAGCACAGAGACGTTACATACGACTTCAGGTCTCCTCCGGTGGGGATTCTGGGCATCCTGAATCTACAACCATCATCTCAAGGTTTGCTCCTTCGATGAAAACAGCACACAGGTGCCTTCCCACATTGCTCATCCAAGAACTCACTAAATGTATCATGTTGAGATCCTAACACGGCCTCCCATTTTCCCTAATCTTAATCTAGTTTAATGTGCCAGATGCGACTGAATCCTCACTGACTGTCAGTATTGTTCCCTTACAGGGAGTCAGTGAGGAAATATACAAAACAAGAAACTGAAATGGGCATGGCTGCATGGAGAAATGCCACTGTCTGGGTTTTTTTTTTGTTTTTTTAAGCAGACAATTTGCCCAATGCCACTTGCAGTGCACATCTTTAAGAATTTAAAATAATTGGCTGGTGTTTTCGCCACACGTCAACAGATCCCCGTGTTTCTGGCAGCGCCTGTTCTCACACCTTGAAATGCCATGCCAACAAGGAAGCACCAAAAAGCACATTATTCAGTTTTCAGATAATTAAATGAGAAGACAGACAGGTGTTGTTACCGTTTTTGTGTGTGCCTGCGTGTGTGCGTGTGTGTGTGAGTGTGAGTGGAGGAGGGAATGTATGAATGCCAGGCTTTATTATTAGAAAGCCTGTGTTTTTTTTCTCCAAGTTGGGTGGTGGGCGGATGGGCTCAGGGCTGACATCAAGGCCTCTTGTAAAGAGGCTGCTGCCTGACTGGACAAAATCCAAAACACACACAACAGAGGGAAATCCTGCAGTGGTTTCTGTGCAATTTAGGAAAACTTAGCACATTTCACTCTGCTGGTTTTTAGATTTAGAAATGTGTATGTGTCCTGTTAATTCCCAAGAATGTAAAACACAGATTATGTGTCTATGTGTGCTTTAATTGTTGCAACCTGCATTTTAAACTTTATGTGCAGGCACACTGTAGATTCTGTACTCTAATGCTGTGGCTCATATCGGAGTTAAAAAAATCAAACGGGAAAACAAATACTAGTTCCTCATGACTGCTTGGAAGTTAAATATTTAGGCAGGCGTGTTAAATTATAATTTTTTTCAGTAGCATAAACTTTTCCCCCCTATAAAGTGGCCCTGCATCTCTAATGATTTGTATTTTTACTTTCAAATATAAGATTCAGACCCAGCTACTCAAGCTGAATATCACAATTAATTATATATTATATATAACACAATTATAAAACCAGCTAACGTTCACCAAAATATTTAATCAAAGGAAGCACGGATTTCCACTTTCAACAGCTCTACTTGGATTACTACAAACTTCTGTGTTAAACCTGGTTTTAATACACATTTCATATGTTAACCGCTAAACAAATTGTACAAGATGTCCTTAGATAAGTGTTAGTACTGCTATTCTGCTTATTTTCTTTCTTTCCAGCAGTCCAGGAATATTGCAGGTCATTTAAAATTCATCCTATCAACACATTTCCACACAATTTAGAGAGGTAGTACATGGATTTTTAACCATAACTGCTCTGAAATAATCTCACATTATTGCTGTTTTTGTCTGGTTTCACAGTTTTTAATCACCTCTGGGATTCTGTTGTTGCAGTGGGCAAAGATTTGTTTTCCATAATAGCAGCAGTTCTTCTGAAGGTGGATAACCTGCTCAGCATTGCAATGCATAGTCTATCTAAATAACCTAGTTAAGGCTAGTTAACTTCAAGAAAAAGTGGAAATGCTACTTTGAAACTCTTTCCCGTTGGTTTTAATACTGGGAAAGACAAGAAAACATAACATTTTTAAGGCAATTATATGTTAATATTGCTTAAACTTGCCTAATCAGAGCAATAATTACAAATTTTGTATTTTTTGAGGGTGATATTACACCAGAACAGTACAATATGACTTCATTATTAGGTGTTTTTTTTCATACATCTTTAATAAGCGTGCAAGTTAATGAGGAGATTGCTGCAAGTAGAGTAGAAATCTGTCTCTGTATAATGAACGAATGAATAATTCTAAACTCATGTAATCTAGTTCCAGTGATAAAAAACGGGAACCTGTTAAACACAGGAGATGCGAGAAGTGATGAAACACAAACTGAGTCCAATCACAGCTGCTCTACAGCATTTGACAGAACTGATTACATTCCCCCCCATAAATGCCATGAAAGATAAGACACTTATGTTAATTAAAAAAGTTTAGGAGTAAAGAAAGATCTCAATTACAGATTACTGATTAACTTTATTTGCTTTAAAAAAAAACAAAAAACGTACGCATGTAGCCAACAAGTTCTTTAGCAAAAGTAACCTCCTTTCCGTCGCTTCCTAAGGTAACCTCTCAAACTTCCTCAGAGACTCGGGTTGGTTGTGTGCAGACACAGGTCCCCTGCCACTGCCAGAGGGGAGAAATATCAGACATGTCCCATAGTCTGCAGAGACTCTCTGTGCCAGGGGATCTGCGTGAGTATCATAAAGCCTCCGTTTCAAAGGAGATGCTACCTCCCCAATCAGAGCCCTGCAAGGTGTTTGATCTCCCGCTCTGCTCTCTTCCCACCCTGCCCTGCTTTTTGCTCTTTTCGGTTTTTCAAAAAAAAAAAAAAAATCCTAATTAAGTGAAAAGATACAATGAGAGCAGAGTTGTGTCAGAAACAAGGATAGCACTACACGTCTGAAAAGCCTTCAGCTTAACAATTGGAAAATAACGATCGATATTTTGTTTTGCTATGACGTCCAAAGGGCCCCTGTCCATCAAACAAACAGTTCAGTCGTATTGATTTAATGCACAAGCTTGATCTGGTCTGAGTATGAGGGATAACTTCATATAATTGGAAAAAAAAAAAAAAAAAAAAAAAATGACCTAATTGTTTGAAGGATTAGCAGAAGATTAGTACAAGAAAAAAAAACGGATGGTTGGGTAACTTCGGGCAAATCAGTACCTGCAGGAATCAAACAAGACTATTTTCCCCTTCTTGCCTGATGCGATGTTGATGAAAGCAAGAAGTGGAAAACAAGAACAAATACAAAGTTTTTTTTGTTTTTTTTTTTTAATTAGTTCACATCACATCTGTAAATACGAATGTGAGAAAAGCTTTTATCTGACGCTGAGCACCCATGTGGATTTACATGACCCAGAGTCTTTTTACCGCGGCCCGTTTCTCACTCATTATGCTTTGTTTTGGCAGATGTTTCTGCTGTTTTGCTTCCTGCGTTCTCATTAGGCTTTTATTATCAACATCCAGGTGCGCAGTACAAGCTAAACCATCAATAATTAAAGGATTAAACTTTTTAAGCCGGTTTTAGTGTGCCACCATTATGCCTGCGTGTGAAGACAGATGGAGGCCCAATTACCATCTCGTCCCATGATATCCTGATGGAGCTATTTTCGTCGGTGGCTTTAAATGGTTTATGAAATCGCTCCCTTTACCTGTGGCCGAGGATGGCCTGTCACTAGGCAGGTGAGCTCCAGGGTCTCTCCTTCTCTGATGGTGTACACCCTCTCTGTGTGCCTCTCCTCTTCAACGTTGCAGGCGTGCCCGGAGTGAATGATGCGGACAGTTGGAGGTGCTGTGGAGAGAAATGCCACAAACCAAGTTAGCGCCACTAAATTCAGAGGGAATGTGTAGATTAGGGGCATTGAATAAAGGTTTATAAGTTTACCTCAAGGCTATTGTTCCAAATGAGATACTCCCAATCTCTGAGGAACATAAATTTGTAAAAAAAAATAAAATAAACTGGTTAACTAATATTTTAGGGAAGTTTGTTAATTAAATCGATTAAACTGAGAAAAATTATTGTAACTTGTCTTTACTTTTTTTTTGTGAACTAAAGTGGAATATCTATATTGCAGACACTACTTCCAACAACAGAAAAAAGTTGAACGGGATAGAAAATAAAGTGAACAACCACGTAATTATGCAATAATTACAAGAGAAAAAAAACAAAAATTACAATATTCAAAATGAATGCAAAGGCAGAATATGCAAATTAGGGTTAATATATTAGTATTTCACATTACATTGCAAATGTTTCATCACCTTAGAATCAATGTAAGCAATACTAGCGTAGCAGAGACTTCATATTTCACATGCTAATCTAAAATTCAGAGTGTTGGATGGAGCCTCACCACAGCAGAGGCTCACACCTGACAGATAGCAGCGCTTGAGGCACTGATGGTCACACAGTGTTGGAGTCACACAAGAAGTAAGTAAGCGTCAGGAATTCACACTGTGCGAATCGATAATTTACAAAGCCAGCTGGATAGACTCTAACTGCCCGTAATGCCCACACCTGACGTATATGTTTAGTGACTGAGAAGCGAACCTCAATGAACACAATCGGGATATTGTTTAATAATAAAGAAAGGTGTTATGAATATCAAGCCAGGTGTTAAATCTGGTAGAAAACCTGTAGTGAACCATAATGCTCAAATACCCACAATGTGGAAGTAAAACAGTTCTGCAAAGAAGAGAGCGCCAAAAGTCCTGCACAGTGGTTTAAAATATTTACTCCCGGGTTTTTGCAAATGCCGGGTTTGGCACAGATCCAGGTCGGCTTGGTTTGCTTTTTTTGTTTTCTTCCACTAAAACATGAAATCAACAACTGAAAACTGCGTCCTTCGTTTCTTTGATGAGCTGAGACATTTAAGTGCGGCAAAATGTGAAAATAAAATAAATCCGCAATGGGCATTTTGTCAAAATGGAGCTGTCTACAAAACTTGCCGACTTTCCCTAACATATCTTGGCAAAGCGTAGACTGTGACATCTGAATAGAAACTGAAAGATATAGATATTTTGTTATGGCTAAAAGCAATCAGTATCACTCAGATTTGTGTCAACGCGACAGCCAGCGAGACTGGGAAGTGCATGGAGCAGTAATTTAAATGCAGTGTCAAATAAATGACCCTCTGCTGACTCGTAATGAGAGGGCCTCTCTTTTTCTTTATTATCATCTCTAATATCAAAAGGAATTCAGAACGCTATGAAATTATCTGTCAGAATGTATTTATAAGAAAATTATAATTTAAATGAAGCAACAAGTGATGAACTGCAGAGATTTGCATCGCACTGTGACAATTATAGATTAAAAAAAAGTAAAAGGAACCGCCTTAAAGGGCACCTGATATTTGTTTGGTTTTGTTGTAGACACACATCTTCACCCTTTCCAAGCATGGAAAATTATCAATGAATGGGGATGTAGTATATCTAGATACTTATGGCTTGCAGATAATCACAGAAGTCTGGAAAAGTACTTAACACATATGGCAAAAAAAAAAAAAAAATGGGTAGAAATGTTCTTTAGTCAGTATTAAATATCCACAGGTGATTGCTAACAGCTGGTACAACTGAAGAAATAATAATTAAAAAAAACATTTTAATATGTCCACACACCAACAGGCACTGAAACTCAAGTAGTCAGGGTTAAACTGAGCAGAGGAAAGGGGTAATTTAAGGTAATCCACTCAAAATATTCGTTCCTACTGAGCTGTGAAAACATGGTTGCTCATAAGCGGCCCCTGACAATACTAGCATCTGTTCAGCATTTATTCCTCTCCAGCTTCCATGATTAGTGAAGAGGTTAGGGACGACATGGGTTAGAGAGCGGATGCGGGATATGATTAGGAGGAGGAGGAGTACAAAATAGTAGGGCAAAGAAGAGGGGGAAAAAAAATCCAGCAGGAATTACAAGGAGTCACACAGACAGCAGCTTGGCTTTCATGTCGGAGGAATGGGCTTCCTGTGCGGGCCCCTCTCGGCAAAGTCGGCCCCCCTGCAGCAGGCCTTCTTCTACCTCCATCCAGGCAGCCATGCTAATGAGCGAAGCGACACTCCCCTCCGATGCCGTGTTGAGAGCCTCAGCCAGAGTGTGTGTAGCCGTAACCAAACATCCCTCCCTGATCCCCACCATGCTGTTTGTCTCTCTTAGCTTGTTAGCTAAATGCTCCGTCATGCCCGTCGTGCTTTTCTAAAGGCCTCGCAGATTGATGTGTGCTGATACAGATGCTAATCATATCAGGCTGTTTGGCTTTCTTCGGTCTCCCTCTGCATCTCTTTCCCCGTCTCCATTTAGAGTTAAACACACTGGTGGTGAATTCCATTGGGAGGGTAATGCTTGAGAAATAGGCTCAGCGCAGGGGCTTCACGCAACGCTGCCACTTAAAACCAAAAAAAAAAGGGGCTGAGAAACAAGACCCCAGGGCAAGAGCTAAACAAAGTGCTAATGCCATTTATTCTGATGAGCCAGTATCACAGCAGCGCACTATCAGTCCTGGAGGAAAGCTGGGAAACACCCATAATTAATGAAAATCAGCTCCTATCTGCAACTACACACTCACAACTGCATAAACATACGCTTACTCTTCATGCAGGCAGACATCTCCAAGCTTAAAGCCACAAAAGCAAATAACCCTCTCTCGAGCATACATAATGAGGACACTTATGTTAAAACAGTCACACATATCCTTAAGTGGCTAAGACCTGCTCTTTTATATCCCTTGGCCCAGAGCGCGAACTAAAATCACTCTCATTACTATTTCATTTCCAGTTTTGTTTCTTTTAAAAGCCACTTGATATTCAACTGACAGTAACTACTCATAACATCTCCGGAAAGGACTTGTGGGGATGGACAGAAAGACATTAATGCCGTTAGATTTTAGGCCGTCACGGAGCAAGATGTCAGTAAACTGACAGGACGGAGATAAAAGACTGAGGGGAGAAGGGGTGATAGACAAAAGCTTTGAACACATCATATGTCTTACAAATTCATTATGTGGATTAAGATGGTTTCTCATACATTTGGAATGGTGTGCTGACGGCGTCTTTTATCTTTTCAACCACTTTTGATTTCTGGATTAAGACCACCCTAACATCTCCAGGACCTCCAAGAATGATTAAAAAACTGTTTGTCTTGGCTGCAAAGTTGAGTGTGAACTCAAACCTGACTCTATCACGCTCCTAGTGCTAAGGACATAGGATTCTCTTGGCCATTATGACACATCTGCACAAAAATGTGTCCTCATAATCTGTAAAATTCCCTTATAAATATGAGTTTCCTGCACTTCCAACATCAGTTTCATTTGTACATAGAGACAGAAAAACCATCATTACTTTGATCAGTTTGTCAGCAGCATATGAAGAGGCATGTTTTCTTTGAAGCTGCAGTGCAAGACTGAGTGTGCCATACTGAGCAACACATTTGAGGTGGAGTGCTGTTTTTTTTTTTAGCTTATTTCTGTACATTTTGCATTTCAACTACAATATAATCTCAACATTATTACCTAGCAGTCAACCTATATACCCACTTTGGGGTTGTAGGATCTTCTATAGAGCTGAGGAGCAATTTTCCACTTTTCTTTATGTGCAAAGTGTGTGTTCCCAACTCTTCCACAATTTAACCCCCAAAACTGGATTGATCAATTTGTTGATTGCAATATTTAAGGTTGTTGTTAAGAAATATTTTAGTAATCGAGTATCCTATCCATTATTCCTACGATTAACCGATTACTCAGATAAAAGTTTTAATAAAATAATATATTGGTAAATATAACATAACAGCAGTGTTACTATCGGATATCAACATCAGTCCAATTTTTCATATTTAATCAATTACTTTTCTGTAAACTTACCTGTAACAATAATAACTCTCTTTCTAAGTTAACCTGAAGAAAAGTTACACAAAAATCTGAAATTATATTCATTTTAATAATAGAGACAGGCTCACAAATATGCTTATTAAAATGCCTATACTCCAGCTTTTAATTAATGTTTTCATATTCAGTCAATTTAATAGAAAAACTCTCACTTTGCCCAGCCATTTACAGCTTTTGTGTCCACGTTAGCGACAGAATTTGACAGCTTCGTCCTTCAAACACAGAAACTTAACCAGCCATGTACCGCCACGATGGCCTCAGCCTCCGCCACTCATTTGTTGAGACCAGGATGATATGAAATGTATTTTTCCGGTTCGTCCGTAAAGCTATGCACTTAAAGCACAGCCACCCATCTGCTCACCTGTATAAATAATCCCGCCGAGCTCTTCCCCGCCGTTCGCTTTGAACGGGTGTCACCAGTCAGTAGCTCCGGGAGGGGAAAGACTGCCGCACTCCAGGCATCGTACCAGTCAATTTAAAGATGCTTATTAGTACGTCGAAAAACTACAAAACTCCGGACATTATCATCAGTCAATAAAATCCTCCCAGACCAAACTTGAAAATTGTTGCTAACACTTAACTTTCGTCAACAACTCATAGGCGGAAGCATAGACATGAATTCGGGCGGAAGTGAGAGCGCTGCGCAACGCCAATAAAGTCCCGACTGCAACACCTTGAGCTAAATAATAAAACATGATTTAACGAAGCTTCGAGGAGGACAAGTTTTCCTCAAGGAATTTTAATAATCGAGGTACTCGAATCATTCGAGGAATCGTTTCAGCCCTAGCAATATCTATAATGACGACAAACCTTTAAAAACCTTGTCAAAATACCAAATTTCATAGATTCTTGATTTTTGTCACGCAAAAGGGTTTTGGTTATACTCAAGTTAAAGAAAAAATTCTCATTATTATGAATCATATGCATTCATTAGTTTAAGTCATTTAAGCATACTCCTCCTCCTAAAAAGTAAAAGTGGTTTCTATGGAAAATCCAATGATTATAGAAATATAATACTTTGAAATATGAAACAAAATAGACAAATTAATAATTAAGAGTAATACTTAAGGTTTGTAAATGTGCCTTCAGCACTTAAAATCAGAATTTAAATAAATTATAGATTCTTTAGAAACTTAACAAGAATGACATACTTTGTCTATGAAATATTAAGTGGATTTTAACAGTCAGAGAAATGCATTGTTATTCGGATATAGCTTCTTTGTTTATTCATGAATGCACAGGTTATGCCTTTAGATTATGGGTCATCTCCTTCTGTTATGAAACCATTCTGACTTTTACATCCCCTCCACCAACATTTCTAACAAATTCATCACATCTGTCAATTAAACATTAAGCTATCTGCTAGAAACAAATATGTCCGCCGTCATAAAGGGAGCTCGGCCTTCTTCACTTCATTTGGGTGACAGAGACGTCTCTGTCTTCTACCACCTATAGAGATGAAATTGGAGTTGGCTAAAACACAACCGATGGAGCCATTGAGAGGCAGAGATGCTTCTTGGCAAAAGCAGACGCTAAAATTGACAAACAAATAAATGTGGGGGGGAAAAAAAGTCCAACAGCTGGGGCTCATTTTCGCAGCAGGTTTAATGTCCTCAGACCGACCCCTAAGGACTACTAACAATATCCTGCTAGCTTTTTGGCTCTATAATCATCTTCTTACAATGGCAGATGAAGGACGACAGATTAAAAAAACAGAAAGAAAAAAAAAACATAGATAATATGCATACTATAGAGAGTAGTAAATTAAAAACAAACCCTATTCCAGAAATAGACTTCCTACTGGCTCTAAACAGGCCTCACAGGACAAAGATGTATCAAATAAAAAGCTTAGTGACTGAAATTACACATTCGTGTTGGCCATTTGTTTTCAACTAAGTGAGTAAATCAGGTCAGGGCAGCACAAACGATAGCAGATGTTTAAGAACATAGCATCATTTTTTGCATGTTGTCATGATCCGTGTTTCTGTGTTTAGTTTTGAGTTTTTCTGTTTCCCTGTGAGTCTCTGTCCTGTCCTCCCCGTTGATTGTCTCCCAGGTGTGTCTCATTCCCTTGATTACCCCGTGTGTATTTAGGCTCACCTGTTGTCTGTGTTCTTCATCGGGTCCTTGTCAATTGTAACTTGTCTAACGTGTCTTACGTTTGTCAGTCTGACTGTCGTATCAGTTGAACTAATTAAGTCCTGGTCGGCATTAGCTCTAGTTTTGTCAGTGTTTGTATTCAGTGCTACCGGCTTAGCTATGTGCTAATTGCTCCTGCCGTGCTGCCTGTCTTGGACTACGTTGAGCTACATTCATCATTAAATCACCATCTTCTCATCATAACCTGGGTCTCGGCGTCTCTCCTCACCTCATCCACCACACATCATGACACATGTAACATTGTTTAAAGTGATCTTTAATCTGTGTAAATTTATTCAGTCCAGTTTGACTTCTTTGCATAAATAATTAGCTATGTTGATTTAAAAATCTTTTTTTATTCTTTACACAGAATTAAAAAAACTAATATCAGGTTTGAGCGTACAGATGATTTTAGATAAAAAAATATCAAACATTAATTTCAACATTATTAACCAGCTGCAGGACATACCAATCATTTCTTGCAGTTCTTAACTAAATGTTCTAGTACTTTCTGTAACTTTAAATTTTTTTCAACTGCGAACTTTAATGTTGCCACACAAACAAATTTAAAGGACTAATCCCTGTTTTATAATTTAGGCAAATTAATCCATGGTGAATGAGCCTGGAAAGCTGCTTGAGGAACATTTTTTTGAGACAAGACACTGATGTTTTACTATCACAAGATTATGTGCCAAATGTCTTTATATAACATTTATATACTTGAAATCTTAAGTTTGTAATTTGGCATTCAGAGCCAAATACTTAAAATGTCGATTTGTGCCATGGTCGGGGTTTACCTGGCTAATATCACACAGAAACTCATTTGTTTGTGTTATACACACACACACACACATTGTTTTAATTTAACAATTAAATGCAGAAAATCAGACAATCAGGGTGATATTGGCCAATTTTATTAGCTGGCCAATCAACTGATTAGTGCATCATTAATAACAAGAGAATTAAAGTTAATCGAGAATTGCCTAACAACATGAGAATGAGAGCAGTATGTCATCATTGGCATAATTAGTTTTTAGCCAATGGCTTTTAAATTCAATAAGAACAGCTCACCCAATATTCACAACATAACTCAAATGTCAACTACAAATCACCACTAACATACGGATGTTTATTTATATATCAGAAATATAAAGTTAACCAA